TCTTTCCCTGGACAAAAATATGGAAATACTATGGAAAATATTACAGAAAATATGTGTCGGGGCAGAAGGGTCCCACTTTAACCACACTGAAAGGCAGCCCTGGCCTCAGTCACAAGCCAGTGAAGATGCTGATAAATCTGATTTTCATATTTCTAGGTGATACTCAGGAGTCTTTTCTTTCAGTTTCTGCTCAAGCGATTCACAGCGGGCTATTTTCTGCTCAAGGCCACAACAAAGGTGGAAATTACAGACTGCAGCTTTGTACCTCTGAAAACACAGAACATCCCAAAGCCCAAAGTTGGAAATTATAGCTATATATACACACACACACATACACATCCCTCTTACAGAGGGATGACAAGAATTCCTGCACAGAGCAATAAAGAGATTGAGTCATTAGTGCCAAATCAGCATAAATATTTGAATGGGAGAAAGAAATAGCTCCTGAGCTCACCTGCACATTTTTAAAATGCAGCATTGTCATCAGAAAGCATTCCTGACGCAGCTGTGGAGCTAACTCGTGGGAGAGGCAGAACACAGAAAATGGCAGTCATTTAAGTCAACTGACATGTCTACATGTGTCATAAACCGGAATGGTGAGAGTGACAGAAGCACATTAAAGTTATTCAGTGTATGTATATGTGTGTGTGTATATATAGCTATAATTTCCAACTCTGAGTGTCAGTCATTGCATAGGAGGAATGCAAAAAAGCTGGGAGGCAGGCCTGTGACTCATGGGAAACTGGAGGTATGGAGAGCATCCAGCCACAAATATAAATCCTGCTGCTGTTCTGCCAGGAAGTCTGGCTGAACTGTTGAAAAGTCAGCGCAGAGGGTGCCACGGAAATTGAAGGAGAAGATAGAATACTGTGGCTGAAAATATCAGATGGGAAAAAAAATAACCACACTTCCGTCCTTTAGAAATTAACATCTAACGTGCGTTAAAGAAGAGAGGAACCATGAAGAAACCGTATTTTTAAAACAATTCTATAATGCTGAAAATTTCTCTGTTTCTCCCTTTCTCTCTCTGTCTCTCCCCTCTTTTCTTCTTTTTTAAATCTTCTTTTATTTATTGATTGAACGAGGAGCACGATCTGCAGAGAGGGAGAGAATTCCAGATTCTTGACATTTGGGGATTTTTAGGAAGGTTTTGGTCCTTATCCAGCAATTCGCTCAGTCTATGCGGTCCCTCAGAGTACCTGAAATGTTCCAAAGTCCCACGTAAATACGTATTTAGAATTAAAACACAGGCAATATGAGAAGCGGGCAAGGGGAGCACTCCGAGGTGCTGCTGAATTTGAGCACAAGCATACATGCTCGGTGATGTGGGCTTTTATCAAAATAAAAGACAACTCAGATTTGTATCTGGGATCCTCAGAAACCATGGTGGCAGCCCTGGAGCTGTAAAGATAAACACAGCTTGTATCTTGGGTCTTCAGTTTGC